CTTTTGTTAAATTCCCCCTTCTTAATGTGCGTGTGATGAATATTCTTCAGATGATTCCTCCGGGCCAAAGCTGATCAAAACAAATGCACCTGCACTTTTTTCTCCCCCCTCCTTGCTACTGAAACTCCCCCAGGATGGGTAAAAATTGACTCCCTGGCTTCCTCCACGAGGCAATTATGTGCCATCTGTTCCCATCCTGGTTGTTCCAGCTCGTTTTGTTTCTGCGATTGTTGGTCTAATATTATAGGCCTGAAAGTGTTAGAGAGGACGTGCAGGGCTGGGGGGTGGAAGGGTGGCGGGGGATACAGAAATGAGGAGTGGCATGAGGAGGAATTAATCGAATCTAACAGCCGAACCAGATCTTCCCCTCTGAAAGGAGATAGTCCCACTAGAATGAGGACCATTACCATATTCATCACCTAATATTGCCTTTTTTATGCAAAGTGGAAGAGAAGATCACAATATGAATTTCTTTACAGTCTTTCTAATCCCTCGTATGAAAGAAGGCCATTTTTAATTGTTTGTGTGCAACAAGTCCACTTAGTATCTGATTTATTGTGTTGCTCGTTTTTATTTGTAAGTGGTAATAAAACCCCATTATCCCCCTGTCATATTGGGCACAGGTAAATATATGTATACGCATATGTATGTGGTTGTTATACTGCCATGATGAATTCCATTATTGTTTTGTTACAGTAACTATTGGGGCCATTACTCTCTGCCACACAGACAGGCTGGGAGCAGCATGTAGATTTAATTGCAGTGATGTTGCAGGCGAGGCGAGCAGCTGGATCGGAGACTTTTAACAGTGATATCAATAACGGAGCGCCACCTCAGGCCCGTATGATTTTCCATCTCTCCTGACAGAGCGGAAGATGGAAATAATCAGTCACGGCACCCAGCAAGACAGCCTGTAGGACCCCGTGTGACATCCAGCAACAGAGATGCTCTGGACCCATCTGTGACCAGGGGGCAGAGCTCTCTGCGTCTGTCTATCCGTGTGTGTGTGTGAGTGTGTGTGTGACAGAGGAGGTTGGATAGAGCTGGATCACCCACAAAGATAACACATTTGATTCACCATATTGGAGTCAAAATTTATTTTTAGCAACTTCAGAATATCTTCCTCCCCCCAAAATATAATGTTCTTTATACAGCAAGAGTAAATCAGGTTGGAGTGTACGTGTTTTCAGCCCTTTTGTACTAATACCCTTTAATAATCTCTGCATGAATTCGAAACAGAACCCATTATTGGACATCTTATAGTGTCAAGCACAGTGGTGGCAGAATCATGCTACTGGAATACTTCTCAAAGGCAGGGAATCTGGTTGGAGTCGATTGTAGATCAGCTGCTTTATGTTTTTTTGGGGGGGATTTATGTACCAAACTAAAACAAAAGTAGTAAATAAATATGAAACAGCAGGGAAATTGTTAAAGGTTTTAAATGATTTTCATTAAGGATTAATAAGATATTAGTTAAAATGTTTAAATCCATTGTTTTTACCAAATGTTTAATTCTAGAAAACTTCAGGTCTTCACATCAACCTTCAAGTCCCATGTTAATTCACAAGTGTATGTAATATAAGGCTATTTGTAAAAATATATATTTATTTATTAATAAACAAATCAGTGAACAGCAGTTTTAAGTACTGAGCACACAGAAAATAACTTATTTTTCTTTCCTAGATTTCCAAATAAAAGAAAATCTGGTAGAGAAACACAATTAGAATATAATAATTAATCTGACACAATTTTGCCCCACTGGATGTTTATGATAGATTTTACTGTACGACTGTATATTGATGAATGGGTTGATGATTTTTATTAAAAACAATAAAACTTAACCTTAGGAATTCAGATGTTTGCTGCTTTGTATTTGCTGCCATCTAGTGGTTAAAGGAAGATATGTACTACTGGCTTCTAATACCGTTTTTTCCAACAGTATAACTCTAGTGATTATATCTCTAACATTGGCCATTCTTCATACTCCCCTTATCTGAATCACATCTACATTTTTAGGGTCGATGACATCAGATGTTATCCAAAGCAAATCGATTATAGGCGCCCGACTCCAAGGAACTCTCAGTCCTAAGAACAACACTGTAAATCTAATAGATGTGATGATTTTCTTGAGGTAAAAACAATATATTTTATTAGTAAATTGACTTTCAACATTGTGTCTCAGTCTAAAAGCTTATTGCAGATAGTGACTATCACTAAACCAGCCCACCAGGAGTGATGCTAATGATGTTACTGGACAGTCAGCTTGACCTCATTATCATTAAATATTTGAATATTCAAAGAGATGGCAACAGAAGGCAGCAGTCTGTATTAAACCACACTTTTTCTCAGCTGACTATAAAGACTAATTAGTTGTTTTTTTATTGTGACCAGTGTAGACATTTCTGGAAATATAAACGGCAAAAATAAAGTTTTATATAAAGCACCTGATGATAGATTTTTTATTATATCTGCATTTCAACATAGATCATTTAAGATGCACGTTCATGCATTGAGATCTTAAAACTGCCAGTAGAAATTAAATGGCCGTATATGAACCAGTTGGTGAATACATCTTGATAGAGGACACTCGTTGCACTATTTTATACGCCATATATTGTTAAAATGATTAAGAATATAGAATAAAAGCACATCAAACTCCCCACTTATGTGCATAGTATTGGACAAAGTCACCTTCAGAACTGTGTGCAAACGTCAAAATTCAGTATTTCATGATTAATCCTTGATCTAAAAACATTTAGGAATCAGGAATAACTTTCAGTGCAGCTGGTGAGGTGCAGAACAGCTCGCCGTGTTTGTGCCCTTTCTAAAGCAGCCTTGTTGATACAGGTGTGGCATTGAGACCTAGTTCTGAACATCAGTGGGACACTTCAAGGAAAAATGTTTCTGAAAAATACTGACAAACAGGATGAGTGAAGGGTAGCCAGTTCCTGCAATAAAACCCAAAGTCTGTTAAATCAGAGACATAATCACTAACTACAGGTGCTGGTCATAAAATTAGAATATCATGAAAAAGTAGATTGATTTCAGTAATTCCATTTAAAAAGTGAAACTTGTATATTATATTCATACATTACATACAAACTCATATATTTCAGATGTTTATTTTGTTTAATTTTGATGATTACAAATGACAGCAAATGAAAATCTAAAATTCATCATATCAGAAAATTAGAATATTGTGAAAAGGTTCAAAATTGATGGCCCCCGGTGCCACACTCTAATCAGCTAATTAACTCAAACCACCTGCAAAAGCCTTTAAATGGTCTTTCAGTCTAGTTCTATAGGCTACACAATCATGGGGAAGACTGCTGACTTGACAGTTGTCCAAAAGACGACCATCGACACCTTGCACAAGGAGGGCAAGACACAAAAGGTCATCGCTAAAGAGGCTGGCTGTTCACAGAGCTCAGTGTCCAAGCACATTAATAGAGAGGCGAAGGGAAGGAAAAGATGTGGTCGAAAAAAGTGTACAAGCAAGAGAGATAACCGCACCCTGGAGAGGATTGTGAAACAAAACCCATTCAAAAATGTGGGGGAGATTCACAAAGAGTGGACTGCAGCTGGAGTGAGTGCTTCAAGAACCACCACACACAGACGTATGAAAGACATGGGTTTCTGCTGTCGCATTCCTTGTGTCAAGCCACTCTTGAACCACAGACAGCGTCAGAAGCGTCTTGCCTGGGCTAAAGAGAAACAGGACTGGACTGCTGGTGAGTGGTCCAAAGTCATGTTCTCTGATGAAAGTAAATTTTGCATTTCCTTTGGAAATCAAGGTCCCAGAGTCTGGAGGAAAAGAAGAGAGGCACTTCATCCACGTTGCTTGAAGTCCAGTGTAAAGTTTCCACAGTCAGTGATGGTTTGGGGTGCCATGTCATCTGCTGGTGTTGGTCCATTGTGTTTTCTGAGGTCCAGGGTCAACGCAGCCACATACCAGGAAGTTTTAGAGCACTTCATGCTTCCTGCAGCTGACCAACTTTTTGGAGATGCAGATTTCATTTTCCAACAGGACTTGGCACCTGCACACAGTGCCAAAGCTACCAGTACCTGGTTGAAGGACCATGGTATCCCTGTTCTTAATTGGCCAGCAAACTCTCCTGACCTTAACCCCATAGAAAATCTATGGGGTATTGTGAAGAAGAAGATGCAATACACCAGACCCAACAATTCAGAAGAGCTAAAAGCCACTATTAGAGCAACCTGGGCTATCATAACACCTGAGCAGTGCCACAGACTGATCGACTCCATGCCACGCCGCATTGCTGCAGTAATACAGGCCAAAGGAGGCCCAACTAAATACTGAGTGCTGTACATGCTCATACTTTTCATGTTCATACTTTTCAGTTGGCCAACATTTCTATAAATCCTTTGTTTTTATTGGTCTTCAGTAATATTCTAATTTTCTGATATGATGAATTTGAGATTTTCATTTGTCGTCATTTGTAATCATCAAAATTAAACAAAATAAACATCTGAAATATATGAGTTTGTATGTAATGTATGAATATAATATACAAGTTTCACTTTTTAAATGGAATTACTGAAATCAATCTACTTTTTCATGATATTCTAATTTTATGACCAGCACCTGTATATTCACAGCAGTGGTATGGTACTGAAATGTTGATAAAGCAGTAGATATTAGGACTGGATTTTAGACCATACAGAGATGTAAAGGTCAAATGAAAACGTTGTCAGTCTCTTATCTTACTACCGTATATCCATTAAAATTTAACGTGGATGTCATTTTGCAAACTGTTTTTTGTTGTGGTCATTTTTTGTTTTTCTACCTTATTAGCCGTTTTTTTCACTGAGGAGCTAGGACTATATCGACATGTTCAAGCATGCCTCATTGTATTTATGAGATGATAAGAAGAGTTACTCCTTATCAAGTGTTTTTTTCTTATTTTAAATTTTTATTTATTTATTTTTTTGTTTAGGGTGTTTAAAATTGTTGAGATTATCATCAAAATCCTGTATAAGTTCACTCCTGCCATAGAGGGAGGGTGGAAGGGCGAGATGGGGTTGTCTCCGTGGGAAGGAGGAGGGAAGACAAACGGCTGAATGCAGCGCAGAGCAGAGAGAGGAGAGAAGGACGTAGACCATACTCTGAACTCAGGTATGCCCACATCATTTTACATACATTACAAATGTGTCTCAGGGCTGCATATTCAAGTTTGAATTTAAAATCCTGTATATAATAAAACGTGAGATGAAGGCGATACATATGATGAGATGTATTTGATATATTTTCTTCTTTTATCTAACCTAAATTGATCTGAATTACCATTTCTACAAGTTTATTTTTCCCCAACTATGAATTATTTTTTTGTAACTCACAGTCAATGCTTTTATTGTTGAGTTTTGCCCAGTCGGAAACCTCCTGCACATTCTGAATAACCTCCTAAATTATGAATGGTTTACATTTTCCATTCGCAGCAGCTAAGCTAAGGTCACCTGGTAGCTAAGCTTCTCATATAACACCATAGTTGACCCAAATTTAACAACCCTGAGGGGTGATGGGGATTATTGTTTTTACGTTAAAGTTAGCTGCAGTTTTTATTACTCTGACCGATACGTTTATCTTTACTTTATATTACATATTTCATACTTTTCCTAAAATAAGTAGGAGTTCACAGGTTTTCAATGGTCTCTTTGTGTGTGAGCATGTGAAGGTAAACTGACACCTGCCTTTTTTATCTTTGAAAAAGCCTTCTTGTTCTTTGTCAGGCTGTTAAAAGACCCACATCTATGGTGATGATGTACAAAAGTATTAATATCCTTGAATCTTTTTCCATATTTTGCCAAGTTTCTTCTACAAATAAGTATTTTCTTGAGATTTTAGTGACACAGCAGTGGAAAAATTTATTAGAAGGACAAAATAGGATTTAGGAGAGTTTGCTGTGCACTGGGTAACAATTGCTTTCAGAATTTAACTTTCTTGGGCAATTTAATTTTGACATAAATAAGGTCCAAAGGTTTGAAAATTGTATGGAATCTAAACAGTGACCAGAGATGTCAAAAATATTGATGTTTATTACTAAAGTAGACGTAGAAATCCTACTGTTCAAAAAACCTTTTTAGAAGTTAGAGTATCAACTTAAATCTTTTTACTCAATTAAAAGTGTAAAAGTACATTTTTAAAATTATTTAAAGTATAAAAGTTAAAATTAATGCAGGAAAATATGTTAAGGACAGTTTGACTGCACTACCCTATTGATGGAAACCTTTTCTACAATTCTGGATCATAATTTCCCTACTCTTAATTTTCTTGGTTTAATATATAATATTAACAATACACAATAGTAATAGTAACAATAGTGTCAAATTTATTTAAGGTCATCTTGAAAGGCTATTTATTTTGGAACGTAACAACAAGTTGGTGCAGCACCACAAAAAAAAAACGAACAAGTAGAAGTAGAGTTGTCTAAAAAATAATTTGTCCAGGAAAATTAGGCCTAGTCAAAGTTTAGACCCCAAAATTTTGGAACCTCAGTTTTTTCGCCTATTGTTCTAGACTGTCTTGTGGCTGTAATATGATAAAAATTTGAAAAAAGAATGAGGATGATTAATATTTCTTAGATATTTGAACTCACGAGTAAAGTCTTAAAAAATTTTTCATGCATTTGTGGCCTTAAATCCATGCTAAATGTTAATTGGGAACAAATTTATGTCGTAGTGATCAGTAGGTGGTCTGAGTATTTTAGTTTACGTCCTAGAAAAAAGAACACTGGCAACCTGAGAGCACTTTAGAGTCCCTGTGAGAAACCAGATCTGGTCCACATGAAGTCACAGTGAAAGCAAACTCTTGTCCTAGATTTAAAACTTGCTACAGGTCCTTTCGGCATATATATATAAACAGGCTGGCCAGCTAGAATACCTGAAGGCTTGAGAAACTAGTGTACAATACAACAAAAGGATGTCTGTGATGGCGGAGAATAAAGTTATAGTCTGGCTCATTAGTTACAAATGATAGATGTTATGTTTTAAACCCAGTCTTTTTTAAAGCAAATATAACATATTTTAATGGTTGGCAATGGTTTGCAGGTGGAGTATATAAACAATTGTCACATAAGTCTGGCTAAAAGGACCTTGAAACAATTCTAATAGAACAAAACTGCAAATGTTTGAAGAAATATAGAAAAAACAGTTGGAATAATCTGCAGAAAAGCTAAAATGGGAAAAGTTCAGCCAATGCTCCAGAGTGATCAATGTAGACCTATAGTTAGATTTAAGTAGAAAATTCTGAATTGCTCATGTATGCAAATCCATTTGCAAAAAGGTCCCATAAAGTTTCATTGTTGGGGGGAAAAACCGCCCCAAAAAACCATCATGGACTGAAATGAGGATCACAGAGAGTTTGTCAACCAAGGTCCGAACACCTACTTCGATTTTAAACACACCAAGAATTATTGGCTAAGGTTTCATTGTATGAGGTTGTTTCTCTTTGTATGGTGACGGCTTGTTTATGGCACATCAAGGATCTAAGATCAGTATGAACGGATCAAAACTTTTGCAGATGGGAAAAATATGTGTCAAAACAAGATGTCCTCATACATCAGTAATGATCCTCTTCCATTAGTACGTACTCTACTCGTTTTAGCTCGTCCTAAAACTTAATTTTTACAGGAAGTATTATAATATAATTTTAAACCACAGCAATGTGGTTGGGGTTGTCATAGCAAGGGCCCCACCATCTGTATGGGACACAAACGCAATGAAAGATGGATGGAAGACCGGCCCAAATGTATATGGCTTTTAGTTATTGTAAATGATGAGAGTCAGAGAAGGTGATTTTGTTGATTATTTGGGGGGGAAAAAAATGCATGGACAATCTTTTTTTGCCTCAATTTGATAAAGCTGGTCATACTTAAAAAGCATTTGTGGGCATGGACATAAAAAGCTGTTTGGAGGATTTTATGTTCTATCTTTAGAGGTATCTGAGGTATATTTATAAAACTCTGCTAATAGTAAAGATTGTACAAACTGCACTATTTCAGTTTGCTGCTTTTCTTTATCTCCACAGACAAAAAAGACACGTTGGCTTTTTCAAATCTACCAATCACCATGTTCACGAGGTCGCACTCTGAAAGAAGAGCCCTTCCTGGTTTCTCAGCCTTACTGACACACAGCACCCCAAAAGAGAGAGATGTGACCTTCTCATCTCCCCTGTACTTTACCCCACGGGACTCCATCTTTACACCACAATCACCTACTTTATCTCCTCCATGGGTGAAAGAAGCACTTTCAACACTGGAGAAAGGCGAGGAAGAACTTGAGAGTCTAAGGGAGCGTCAGCAAACGGAAGTGGAGGAGGTAAACCGTGAATTGGACAATGCAGTATTTGAAGCTCAACGTGAGGAGCGACGCCTTCTTGAAAAGGTGGAGCAGGACTACAGGGAAACCCAGCGACATCTTAGTCAAGTGAAGAGGGAAAACGCTGCAGCTGTGAGAGTTGTGCAGTCACTTGTTGATCAGCAAATTAATAAAATTAGGCAGTTAAAAGAACAAATCCTTAGATGGGGTTTTAAAGCTGATGGATCAAACAGAAATCAGCTTCAAAGAGGCGTAGCAGAGGTCACTCAACCATGGGAAATCTCTTTAACAATGAAAAGGGTCCATTTTGTATCCAGCCCCCATTATAAGAATTTACATTTTGGGGAGGTTGATATTCACGAACAAGGTATGACCTATAATATTGGGGTCTGTGGTGACCAGGGACACAAATGCGCCTTGCACTCTGGTGATGCAAAATTCTTAAACATAAATCCTCGTGAAATCCGACAGGAACCCCAACATAACAGAGGTAGAGCAGTGGAAAACATCAAGGCAAACAGTGGAAACGTTCGTGTTGTTCGGAAACTGCATCTGTCAAGCCCTACAGAGAATGATGACGAGCAAAGGCTGATGAGGTCTTCCATCCAAAGACATCGCGTTGTATCAGAATCTTCACAAGATGAAGAGGTAGAATCTGTCTGTTCAGACACACAAGGGCAGGATCTTTTCCTTGCTATTCCGCTCGTCTCCAGTCAAGGAGAATCAGAGGGGGACGAATCTGATTCCAGACATAATGAAACAAAGAGACACAATACGGTGAAAGGTAAAAGAAAGCAAAAGGCCCTTGTTATGGTTTCGTGCGATGAACCATCATGCCCTCTTGGAGAAAAAGATGATAAAAGAAACAATGCAACATTTTCAAAGGCTAGCTGCAAGGGTTCAGTCTCAAGATACAGTCTTACAGACCTTTCTCCAAAACGTCTTTCTCTTTCACAACAAAGCCTCTCAAAGAAGAACTCATTAGACAGTGGAAGCCTTTCATCCCCTGGTGACAGTGAAGATTCCTGCAGTACATTTATTGTAGATTCTCCACAAAATGAATCTCTTAAGCAAGACCACTGCTGCTCAACCTGCACCACTGAGCTTTCCAGTAGGGAAAGCCCTTTGGGTAACGATGACAAAACTGAGTGCAGAAAAATGAGAAGAGTCAGTAGAATGCATCTAACCTCAGAACCTTCAACATTTAAACAAGCCCATGAAAACTTTCCAGAATCAAATAAGAGCATCATCAGCCCTAAAAGGCAATCGAGATCTCAAACTCGGCTTACACCTGGTTTAACTGTCAACCGTGTCAGCAGATCTCTGTCCATGTCAGCAATCGATGGTGACAAAATAAATCAAGACAAACAATCGCTGCCTTGCAACAATAAGACAGGCAACACTGACATGCGTTTTAAAGAATTTGATAACGGGACTAATTCAGCTGTTTTTGGCACAGCTTATCTGGTGAAACAGTTCGGTAAACAAGGATCAGGCCGAACTGACTTCAACCTGCCAAGTGGTGTTCATGCAACTGCTAGAGGGCAACTGTTTGTGGTGGATTGTGGTAATGCCCGTATCCAAGTGACGGATCTCCAAAAGAACATTGTGCAGCAAGTCTCTCCATCGGGATCAGAAAGGTCTTCATGCATATGCAACTATTTTGACGTGGCTGTAAATTCAAAGGGCCTCATCGCCTTGACCTGTGCTGCTGAACGAGCATTGTTAGTTTTCAGTCGTCATGGACGCCTTCTACAAACATTTGGTGGCACCATGACTGGTTTAACAAATGAAGACCTGGATGCTCCAAGAGGGGTCACCGTTACATGTCAAGATGAATTCATTGTCGCAGACATCAAGCGCGGCACCTTGACTGCCTTAAAGTTGGATCCAAAAACCGGGGCTAGGTTAGAACGTACAGTTGTAACCGGGTATCACAGACCCTACTTGGTTGCAGCCTGTCTCACTACTCGGCTAATAGCAGTTTCAGAAAGAGGCAATGAAACTGGCCGCGTCCCATGCATTCGGGTCCTGGAACCTGGCTGGAACACCATCAGAATCCTTGGGGTGTGTTCAGGCCTTGGACCGGTCCTGACCTGCCCCTGGGGCCTTTGTATCGACAGTGATGGTGATGTCTTAGTGGCAGACTGGGGAAAGCAACACCACCGTGTTCTCATCTACCCATCAAAGGGTGTTGGATGGCCTCTTGTATCTGAAAACCTTAACAGCCCACGAGGGCTGGCACTCCTCCCTGATGGCCATATGGTTGTCTCAGACAGCATGAACCACTGCGTCAAGATTTATCGCTACAAATAAATGGAAGAAGGCATATATTTGAAGACAAATATCCTAAGAGGTGTTAATAGTAAAACCTGTGGCTTTGGGATTTCCTTTGCTATTTGGTACTTATGCAGTTGTGGATGTCTTGCATTTATTTTTTCCAGAAGGAATGAATATGTGTAATCTTTCAGAGAAAGTGTTCCAATATTCCTTAAACAGGGTTTGTACCTCTATGATTAGTTGTAGACTTCAAGTATTTTATTTTTAATCCCATCGTAGTCTACACCTGGATATATCATCTAAATACATTAAAGGAAATGTAGCCATATAACTCTGATTATAAGATTAAATCATATCCATGATTGAGAGGTTAATCATTGTTAGAGGCTAGTCTCTCAATTTTATTAGACTCAAATGGGCCATAAGGAATAAAGTTTGGCAGCTGTGACTTTGTGTCACACAAGGGTATCAGTCAGTCATGAGATAAGCTACTCTTCTACTGTTCCGTTTTTACAAAGTGGAGGTTTTTCTCTTCTCTAACATATCTGACAGTAGGAATCTCTCAATACATGCAATAAAGTAGTTATAGATGTTTTTGTCAAAGTGTGGGTTTATTGTGGGCCACAGAAGGATGACATAGGAAAGCAGATTTTCAAGTACAAGGGTATGAAGTGAAAATTTGAAAAATGGACAACTTGACCACCAGCGTTTGAATTTTAATAATGTCCTTAATGGTAAATATTTATGATTAAGCTCTAAACAATTATATAGAACTTATTATATAGACTAAAACTACTTACAAACTGTTTTTGTTTACCACCATTATCTATGCATACAAGATGTTGATGTTTTCAGTGTATTTGCCTTGTGTCATAAAAATAATATAAACATTAAAACAGATTTAAGTCTGTATTTTGTTATTACTTGGCACATCACAGAATGACATGAAAAATTGGGTTCTCCATTTAATAAAGGGGTCCCTTATTTCTTTATTATTCAAATATTTCAGTTCAATAGATCTGGAAATTTCTAATCATATAAAACCTGAACGACCTGATTATGAGTTGAACCTATCACAATTTAAATATTTGATTAAAAAAATATGCAATATATTGTGAAGTAATTCTGATAATCTGGCAAAGGAATGTCCTGAATCTTGACCTAACCATTATGAGAACATCAAACTTACATTATGTAAATTAAATAAATAGCTTGTTTTCTTTGCAAGCTCCATGAAATTCAAGAATTTCAGCTTTTACAAAAACATGAACATTCAAAAACATGTAAATAAGCAGAAGTAAATCCTAACAAACGAAGGTAAAGGGCAGTAACAGCTAATTGTGCAACAACTAAACTTCTAGCTCTTTATCTGTGCAAACAAACACACTGTCGAGCTATGCAGGCTAAGAGTTTCCCAACTGGTCCATTTGCACACACATTTACGCACACGTCGGTATAAAAGCACAGGTTGAATTGTTGCTCATCTACACTACAGCCTTGTTCCAGTGTGAGACACCACATCAGCAGAGTAAACATGGAGCTTTTGGTGACCAGAAGTCTGTATCTGTGCGCTCTGTTTGCTCTCTCCTTGGCAGCACCGCTGTGAGTATTGATGGACATTTATGATAAATGTAAATTAATATTTGCTGCCTTAAAAATGTGGTGCAGATGTGGGACATTTCCAAACATTTACATTAAACTTTCTATCTAACGTTATGGTTCTTCTCTCACGAATTTCCAAGAATTAGTCAGAATTTTAGGGTAATCGATTGCGAACCAACAGACAAAACTTGTGTAACCAAAGTTTAGCAGCTGGATCGATAAACAGGGCTCAGAAGGGCTCTCGTCATTGATTGATTGACCCCATAGCAGTTAGAAATTTTATTTAATCCTACATTGAAAAAACAACAAAATTGAGCAGATTTTTTTTATCATCCACAGACAAGATGCTGCTGTTGAAGGTAAGTCCTTAAAGTCTTTGTAACTTCTGTAATCATATTATTTCAAATCGAGCTTCAATGTAGTTCTTTCTTTCAAGGCTGTGGAATTCGAAAAATGTTGCTTCTCTACCAATACACCTTTTTTACTCACAAATTTAATTCAATTAATAGTTACATCATTTGGGAAATTAAAAAGCCTTGACCAAAGAAAATATAGTTTGTGTTAACCGTCTTAGTATTTCATCATCATTTGTAGGATTGTGTCCATCAATCCATTTCTGTGTGGAGTCTGGTAATAACTGCACTGTGGTTGTCCATATGACTGTCTCCTTGCTTGAACCCCAGTTGGCCTTGGCAGATGACCGCTCACACTGAGCCTGGTTCTGCTGGAGGTTTCTTCCTGTTAAAAGGGATTTTTTCCTCTCCACTGCCGCTACAAGCATGCTTAGTGTGAGGGATTGCCTCGAATCGAGAGTCGATGCAATCATCTGGTTTTCCCTAGATAGAAAACTTTGAATCAATGACTGTATGATCTGGTGAACTGTAAAGTGCCTTGAGATGACATGTTGTAACATGTCGCAATATAAATAAACTGAATTGAATTGACTCCAAAATAAATTGGGGCAGTTCACAGATGAGTGAAAAGTTGCTAAGAAAAGAATCAGCTCCTCCAGACCTTGGTTCTCGACCGGAAAAAGGTGGCTTGTCCCCTTCGGGTTGGTGGAGAGATCCTGCATACAGAGAAGGAATTCAAGTATTCCAAGAGAAGGCAAATCAACAGATGGATCATTGTGGCTGTCACCATAATGGGAATGCTGCATAGACCTGTTGTAGTAGAGAGCTGAGCCGAAAGGCAAAGATCTTGATTTACCATCGGTCTATGTTTCTACCCTCAGCTATGGAGGGTCCTGACTAAGAGTGAGATGGATACAGTACAAGCGGTTGAAAGGAGCATTCTCCGCAGAGGCTCAGAATACAGCCCCTTGAGGTGGCTCCAACATCATTTTCTGATATAGGTGTTCTAGGAGGTTCCCACCGAGAAGGGACCTAGGGGACGACCTGGAATTGTGGCTGCATCTTCCAAGGACCTGGTCTACCTGGACTGGGTCCTTTGAAGTTCTTGAAATTAAGGAGACCAGAGGCGTTTTGCCTGTGAATTCAAACAGGTCTACCCTTCGGTGGCTTTCTTCAGAGCCTATGTCTCTCACCAAGAGAGGGAAGTGAGAGACTACTGACCCAAAAACCCGGTCCTATATAAGAGGAAAAGGATGAATATGAGTATTATCTTGACAACTGAACAAACTGACCTCAGAGTGATGTGCAGCTGTGCACCCTGGTGCAAATCTTGACCTTTCCTGCATGTCTTCCCCCTCTACCCTTTTTTTCTGTTGATCCACAAATAATTTTGTGGCCATTAGTTACACAGAATTCAACAAAGAAACTACAATTATTTTTCATACTTTTCTTCATCATGGATAGAAAAGCTGGAAAGATCTAAAGGGAAATACATTCACGTTTTGTGGCTTGTAATAAATACCATTCGATCCTCTAGATGGAGGTTCCAGCCCTGCAGTTCCAGATCGATGTGCTGGTATTGAGTTTGATGCCATCACACCCGATGAAAAAGGAACTGCCCTCTTCTTTATAGGTGTGGTAAACTTGTAAACTCAATTAAGTACAACAACTGCTGTTTAATCTTGTTTTTCATCTTTAATTTATGTTCAAATATGTTGTCCTCAATTCTTGTCTTCACAGGGGACCATCTGTGGACTGGCTTCACTGGTCCAGCTCAGCTCTCCAATCTGCACTTTAGGGGGCTGAGTGGTGCTGTCAACGCCGCTTTCCGCATGCACAACACTGAAAATCCAGATGACCACGATCACATCTACCTTTTCCAGGTATGGAACCTTCAATACATCTGGCTTTGACTTCAGAGTAGGGAAATTTTATATGCCATCTCACGATAAACTCAGTTACTTATTTGATTTTCAGAACGATAAAGTGTACAGTTATTTCAACCAAAATCTGGAGGAAGGGTATCCAAAACAAATACAAGAGGATTTTCCTGGAGTGCCCACTCACCTGGACGCTGCAGTGGAGTGTCCCAAGGGAGAGTGCGTGACTGATTCGGTTTTATTCTTTAAAGGTTTGTTGACCATTAAAGTTAACCTCCCACAAAAAACTGCTGATCAAATTAAATGGGACGTTTCCTCCTACAGGACATGATGTGCATGTGTATGATATTGCCACAAAGACCGTGAAAACCAAGACCTGGTCACACCTGCCCTCGTGCAAGTCTGCCTTCCGCTGGCTTGAGCACTACTACTGTTTCCACGGACATAACTTCACCCGCTTCCACCCCATCTCAGGAGAGGTGACTGGTACTTACCCCAAGGATGCACGACATTACTTCATGAGCTGCCCCAACTTTGGTGGGTTCTTTCAGGAGAAAATTTTAACATATTAATTGTTTTGTAAAAAATTAATAACTGCAAATTTTCTACAATATTTGTTTCCAACATTTCTTGATTTCTTTTTTTTACGGCAGGTCACGGAGGTGATCGTAAACCCCTAAAATGCAGTGACGTCAAGCTGGAGGCAGCCACCACAGATGATGGAGGAAGGAAGTATTTCTTTACAGGTAACAGAAGAATCAGGGCTAGGCAATTAATTGCATTTGCACTACAATGGCAATTTGAAAAACAAAAATGGACATTGTTTTAATCGCAGAGTCCCTCAATTTTAGTCGCATAAAATGTATCAAGAGTAAGGCACTAAGGCTACATTCACACTTTGCTGCAGTGTGAACGTAGTGACCTAAATCTGATTTTTTTTGGCTATATACGACCTGGATATGATCTTTTCATGGCAGTCTGAACAACACGGATCTGATTTTTTCCAGTGCGACCCAGGCCACTTGGCTATGTGGTCCTGAATCCGATACGAATCTGATCTTTTCAAATGCGACCTGTGTGTGAACGGCCAGGTTGCATTCATCTGACCTGAATGCCATTAATACCCGACAAAGGTCCCTATTCTGGGTCTTTCTATAAAGAAGCGGCAATAAAAACAACAACCATGGCAGATGATGATGCGGAGTGTAGTATTTATGTTTAACCATCTTGAAAATATAGTTTTTTTTCGGTTGGGAAAGATTGCTAGATGCACTCCGGCGCTACCATCCATGTTTACTTCCATAAACACAGAGCATGCTGGCCTGTGACGTCATTGCGTCCTCTACTGCGCATGCGGGACATTTGCGTTGTATGACTGCAGTTCACACAGGAGATCACATACAAGTCGCATATATTTGGAAATGTGAATGGCAACGCAAAAAAAAATTGAGCATTAAGGCCTGCAGTGTGAACGTAGCCTAAATGTTCCCCCCCAGCCCTTAAGGTAGTGGTAAAACCCTTAAAGTGGGTTTGCCATAACACCAAAAGGAAGAGATAGTTGTAGCTAGCACTAGGGGTGTAAATCACACCCATCATGGCGATTCAATTCAGTATCAATTTCTGGACCCAACGATTCGATTATTTTCCATACTCAAGAATACATCATCTTCTTTTTCCTCTGTCACGTCTGTCTTGCCTACCTCTTCTTTCACCTCCGCTATCTCCGCCATGTCTGTCTTGCCTACTGTTTACTCGAGTGTGTGTGTATGAGTGAAATGAGGGCAGTGGCTAAAGAAGGTGAGGTAGGAGGAAAATATGTTTAGCGCCACCGCAGCATGGGAGTCAGAATTACATCCAGGAGCAAATGGATGAAAATAGACTGGAGAAAAAAATAAAACATGAATCGATACTCTTGTGGACGTGTCGATGCATCGGATAGTCAGCTATTGGATCCATGCATCGATACAAAACGAATATTATTTACACCCCTAGCTAGCACACAGATCTACGATGGCCCTGAAGTGCAAACCACATCTACAAATAAACAAAAGCAACAACATATTCAGAAACACGATGGCATTCTGCTTATGCTCGCATGTTGAACGTTTGAACAGAAAAAGCAGATTGACTTGCGGTTTAATAGTCAAACTGTGTCGTTGTCCAATCAGCAAGATCTTAGGTTTCAAGTTAATGCCATGGCTTTTTTGAAACCATTGTTGCTTTTTTAAATATTTTGTATTTTTTTAATTTGTAGTTGTGTTTAAAGATTTGTTCATGTGGTTTGCCCTTCAGGACCACTGTACAGACACTGTGCACTAGCAATAGGAACTTTGTCAAGCAAATGTTAAGGGAAAGCCCTGCAACAATGAACTCTGCACAAACAAAAAATTGAAATCCCTGAAGTGAAATATCAACATACTTAACATACGTGCTTAATGCAAAAGAAAAATTGCATTTAAAAAAACTGCGATTTAGATTAGGGCAAGTAAAAATTGTATTAAAAGTTGAAGTGTAATACTACTGCTATAATGCGGACACTGCACTGTTCTGCTGTGGTAAAGAGAGCGCTGAGCGAACGGACAAAGCCTCTGATTTACAGGTCTATCTACATTCATAAAAATAATAAAAAATCCTATGGAGGGTGACCAATAACACAAAATTAATTTTACAGTTTAGTCAGAAAATAATGCATATTTAGCTTCAGTAGGGTTGTGAATATAAATAATTTCCTGTTCCTGCTGCAAAGCCCCAACTAACCAAATGTGTATTGATCTCTTTAGGTAGAGTGTACCTGCGTGTTGACACACACCGCGATGGGTTTCATCCCTTCCCAATAACTAGGGGATGGAAAGAAGTCAATGACGGGGTCGATGCCGTTTTCTCCTACTCTAACAGGATGTACTTGATTAAGGTATCCTTTTGATACTTTCCTATTTTATGATAAAATGGCATTAAAATGAAGAAATGTGAAAAAAAACAACTTCCACTTTATGCAATAAACATTTTCAGGGGGATCAGGTGTACATCTATAAAGCAGACGCTCACTTCACCTTGATTGAAGGCTACCCTAAAACCGTGAAGGAGGAGTTGGGCATTGAGGGCCCTGTGGATGCTGCTTTTGTATGCCCAAATCAACACACTGTTCATATAATTCAAGGTAAAAGTCTTAAAATCTTGCTGCTAATGACGTGCTTTGAATTTTAACAAAAGTATTTAAGACGTCTCCACAATTTCCTTCCAACAGGGAACATGATGCGTAACATCGACCTTACTGCCACACCCAGGGTCATCGACAGAGAACTGCCATTGCCGCTATCCGACATAGACGCCGGTCTGTGCGGTGAAAATGGAATCAATCTATTTAAAGGCTCACAGTTTTATCACTATGAAAGCGCCATGATACTGGCGGCAGGAAGGATCGCCCCTCAGCCCCAGGCCATAACCTCAGCAATGATGGGATGCCAGGATTAGGGAACAGTCACAAACACGTTCAAATAAACATCATAAAACAAACCATAAATAAATAATACCCTATTAGAATAACCTCTGGCATGGAATTAAAATAAATGGAGCAAAGTAAGGTAAATAAGTGGAACCTTGGAAAAGCCTTGTTTCAAAGTTTGTCTTTGATTTGGTGAATAAAAAGAAAGAAAAAAAAAAAAGAGCTGTCTGAGTTCAAATCATGCTGTTATTTTATGATCAATGCTAGGTGATCTGAAACAACTGACTCTTAAACTTCAACCAAACTAGTCTCTCCACTAGAGGAGCGACTATCTGAAATACACCAGAAAGATAACACTGCAAAAACGATCTAGAAATAAGTCAACATTTTTTTAAATTAAGTTTATTTACCCTTAATTTGAGTAGGTAAGTAAGATGATTTGAGATTTTTTTACTCTTAAATAAGATAATTAGATAATATGCACTTGAGATAAGAAAATGCAATTGTTTTTTATTTTAGATGTAAATTGTGTTGTTATTTTGCAAAGTCTCTCACTTGCCTCCTCAATTCAAGAAAAAAAAATCACTTATTTTAAGAGAAAATTACTCATTTAGATTAACACTTTTTGCAGAGAAGTTCCTACACTTATGGAGGACCAACTCTGCCATATTTTAAAATAAATACAGAAATAAATAAATGCTCAATAAATATATAAGCATACAATTAATTGCCAAAAAAATACAATAAAAAAATAAATGGAAGTAGAAATTAAATTATACAGTGAGACATGGTGGAATATTTTCCAGGTCTGGAGAACATTTGAAAAATAACCATTGTAGATAGAGTATACTTGTCTGTTCTTCAAACTTTTCCTCACTCCTTCCTTTAATCTATTTCCTTACCATCATTGTCCATTTTTCCCTTCACTCTTTTATTAATTTTCCCACTCAATCCTTCAATTATTCCTTCACCTTTAGTTTTTAAAACAAGGAATACAGAAAGAAAGGCATATTTTAGAAATTAGCCTAGAAAGCATATAAAGCTGTGCGATTAAACACTGTAAACCAAGGCTGTGGAGGTCAGATTTCAATAAACCTAGCTGTAATTGTTTTAGGACTACTTGGATCATTCACAATAGCTGATTTTGAAATTAGAATAACTAGAAATAATTAATATCTTAATCTATCAGAAAAACATAATAGTATGATTCAAAACCTTGCAGCTACCAAAGGATGAAGCTAAAGTTTCGTTCTCAAATTCTTGCACATGTACATATTTGTTTTTTTTTGTCACGTACATACGATAAAAAAAAAAAAAAAAAAAAAAAACAGACCACAGCATCATCCTCCCAACCTTTTTCATTTTTTACAATCTGGGGGTTTTTACAAACTGACTGAATCCATATTGGCGCATAAGGACCCATACACTTCAGTGTGTCCGAAGGTCAGAGCAGCATTAGTCAGCGTTCGAGGCCTTTTATGCTCTCTGGAGAGGTCTTTGTTCAGTCAAAATCCTGGGACTTTTTGTGAGCATAAAGGAAGCGCTGGCCTCAGCACAGGTTTGTAGCCGAGACAGTGAGGACTGACATGTACGCATAAAACGGAGCGAATCTACAAGCAAACACAAACGGCAGAGAGATTGCTTCCTTTGTTTATCGCAACGATCAGTTGATTTGTCTTTTAGCTGAATTGTGTTGGATTTATTTAACTAAAATGTTATTTCCTTCTAATAAAATGATTTAAGATTTTAAATTCTTTCCTCCAATGACTAAAAAAACAAAAGTTTACAAGTAAACATTACAAGCAGTTAATCATTGACCCTTATCAGATAAATATGTCAATATCTTTGCATAAACACCAACTCTTTCCCCTAACAGTTTTTTTTTTTTTGCTGGGGGAGAGCAGAAGAAAAGATCTCTACCAATTTAGAACATAACATACAGTACATTTAATTGATATAAGAAAGAATTGTTGAAGTAAATGGTATTTTATTGATTCTTATTTCTGAATCATACATCACTAACCAAATATAATTTAATATCCAAGTTTTACAGAACTTTTCACAGAGAAAAGTTATTTTCATGGATTATCACTCAATTTTTATGGCTAAAGCTTAAAGCTTGACATTCAAGCATTTAATTGAATAGATTAGGGTATTTATTTTCAGTAAACACACACACTTGAATTGTTTAATTATTACTAATTATACTGTTTATGTTAAAAAAGGGTTTGATGTAATTTTTTAATCTGAGTAGATAACCTTGCCGTTGATAAAAGACAAAAAATGAAAAGCGAGCAAAGCAAAAAGAAAATTGGAAAAAAAGAAATAAAGTTAATAAAAAAGATGGCACCAAATCATAGCATTTTTCATCTTCAGACATTTTTCACTCAATTCAATTGAAACATACAGACAGATTAGCTAAAGGTTTTGTGAGGAATCCCACCTGATTGCAGTGACTCTACTGGGCATAATTCACTCCTAGATGATTGATAGGTCCTCAGTGTCACTGAGTTTGCAGCAATCCCTCACACTAACTACCCAAAGGGATGCATGTAATCCCAGTCTTCAAGACTAAGAAGTAAAGTTGATGTTTAACCTCATCTTGTGTCTCTTTTTCCACCATTTGACAGGCCTATCAGTGTATTATTTTTGTGTCGAACAACAGGTTCTATTCTAGTACATCGATTAACAAGTCCTGCATGGTTAAAACAGCATAAAAAAAGAGGACATTAAGAAATACGTTAGGAAAAGTTATTATCATTGCAGTTTTAAATGGTTTAATAAAGGAATGTTTTCTACTGTGGAGGAATTTTTCTTCAAGAGAAAAATTCTTTAAGAGCTTTAAGAGAAACTGCTTTTATTTTATATATATATATTTTAAACCATAGAGAAAACGGTGCTTAGATCCTTCTTACATCATATAATGTCAAATTAAAGGTAGACAGAGAGATTCTTGCTTCCTTTTCCTACCTTCCTCTGCCTACTGCCAGCCATATTCAGACAGCTGTCACCATGGCAACAACTGATGCTCTTCCGCTTCAGCTTAAATGTCCTTATATCCTCACCTCCTGCAGCAAATGGGAAAAAATTCATCATTTTGTTCTTTGAGAAATATTTTACAATTCTGGCATCACAGCTAAAATAAGAATTAAAAAAACGTTATAAATCAATTGGCACGTTTATTTTTTTCATATTATAAAATGTTATTATCTTAAAGTACTATTGTACTCCATCATTCACGGCAGAAACGGTAATGCCTCTGTTATCCAACTCATTTTAAGTTCTAGTTAGGCATCTTTTGTAAAAGTATAGGGGAATATATTTTGATCAGTATGATTGTAAAATAAAAACAACAGTAATGGTACAAAAAAATTTATTCAGAAACAGTCCCGTCAACATTTGAGGTAAATGAACATTTACATCAACATGTTCTCTAACAAAATGTTCAGCTGAGAGGCACTTTGCTTCAATAGACGACGTATTTATTTAGTCTGGTTGGCCTGAATTTTCTTTAAATAGAGTACAAGCAAAATAACCTACTTGTTAGAAAGCTAAGGAAGCATTTTAGAAATCTTTTCATTTAAGGCAAATCTATGGTGTAAGAGCTAGAATAGGATAAAGTCTTTCCATCCATGTCCAGGACAGAAGAAAAACATCATCCACTGTGGTTTCAGTGTTTTTCCATTGCAGGTATTATTTCAATAACAAACATTAGGACATAGAAAACCCAAACTATTCAATTTTCTGAACTTAAGCTGTTTAAATCTTAGTTTGAATATCAAAGGTACTAATTCAGGGTAAAATTCGAACATCTCACCAAAATAAGGAAAATAAACTTTGCTTCAACACATTTTCAACAAGTTTAAAATAGTCTCTCATGGATTCAGGACTTGCTTAAACCTTAAATTATGACCAATATGAACATTTATTTGGTTAACATTTTTAATACTGCACTTACTGCAACAAGCCAAGGAACAGATGAAGATATTTACCTTCTGTTGTCCTTTATTAGTTAACTAAGCCTAATCAAAGACCTGTAAACAAATGGCACAAAGCCCCAAACAGCAAACATACGGCTTAAATAACATCTCTGGTTTAGCTAGATTAGTTTTAGCTAATTTTAAAAAATAAATAGAAACACCTATAACAGATATTAGGGAGCAATCAGATAGCTGGGTGGTATAGCTCTAAAAAAATCAGTGACTTTACCTAAATCTGAATTAGAAAAGCATTTTGAACCGTTAATGCAACAAAACCACAGAATTGTGCCTAACTGCACCATATTTGGTGGATTTAACCATTAAGGTCATTAGTTTAAATGTTTTTAAACAAGTTTTTTTTAAAATACGTCAAGATAGACATAATTGTATATAATCACGACTTGTCTTCAAAATGACTTTTTAATTTCTTCAAGTAAAATTCAGGTTCTATTTTACTGTATTTTATCTTCAACTAAAATAAAATTTCTGTTTTATTACTGATATGTACGGTTTGTCTGAAAAGAGTAAATCTACAACGACCAAAACTAAATCAGAAATTTGTTTAATCTGACTCATTTAGAACTTTGGCTATTCACAATAGAGGAGAACATTACCTACTATAAATTTTCTGTATTTTAAGAAACCTTTCTTTGCAGGAGGGAAAAAAGGAAAAGAACAACAATCAATATACTCTTATGGACTATTTAAACAAACAAACATTTTATAATTCGTAGTTTATTCCCCCCCATCAAAAAAAAACTACAAAAAACTGGATATCTAATATATATTCTACTGCTCATCTAGAAAAACAATCTTCCTACAGAACACTTCAAGGAGACACATGAATTTTATAGAAACACTGCAAACACAATCATTTTTTTAAATGAGCAATTTCTGTCCTCTATTCAAGCTGCATTGCAAAAATAGGAAATTAAATTTCAGCTTCCTTTAATTCACTCTTAATGCTGCCCTTAAAACCAAATTGTCTTTAATTAATTCCAGAAAAAAAAAACTATTTTTTTTAATTCTGTTTTCATGGTGAAAGTCTGTATTGCAGCTTAAGTAGTGAGAGCTGTCAGAGATAAGTGGTAGGTTAAAATAAAGTTGTGATATAACAGTTTCTCATTATTTACATATTTATAACTTTTAAATAGTTCAGCCCTGATGTGACTGCAAATATCACGTTTTTTGTAAACATTAATACAAGATTAAGGCACCTGAACAGACACACAGCCTGAGAAGCCAAACCTCAGGGTGGGATTGCTTCATTTTTCTCCTCTCTTTCTATTGTAAAGCTGGCAAATCCCTCTCTTCATTGAAACTAAAGGCTGTATTATTGCACAACACAAACACTTTCTTTTTTTTACTGACAGATTCAAAACAATCAGCTCTGTCTTTGTAAAGAAATAAAAGTGCAAACCTATTTTTTTTATTTCTTAATAAAAAAAAATAAAAGACCCAAATCTAGCCAGCCAGCTCAGTTGTAATTCAACTTTTTTCATACTTGCTTTTGTTGACATTTATTTACCTAAGATGTGTTTTAATCACTTCATATCTGTCATATTTATTCCTCTTCCAGTTTCTTAAAAAAAATAAAAATAAAAAGTACAAAAAAAGACTTTTGTCTAACGTAGTTTATCATAAATACATAGAGTGGGTGAAAAGGCTAGCTTGGTCACTGCTAATGTTTTAAACAATATCTACAAGGATGAAATATATCAAAAATAAACAATGAATAAACTAACCTGTGAATTAATTTGAAAGAACATGCCGGGGTCAAACAGGTCCAGTCCCTGAGAGCTATTATTCTGCAAATTATAGCTGTTTCATTTTCCAAAACAGCTTAATCAAATGGCTGAATCTCTGCAGAGGGCCTGCTAACGAGCTGCTGATTAGTTTCAGGTGTGCTGGAGTAGGGACTGTCTAAGCACTACATGGTTGACTATCTGTATTTCTTATTTTAAATGCTAATAACAATGAAATATCAAACTATCTTGTGGCCAATTGTTTAAAAATAATATATAAAAGGATAGAAAGTAGGAATAAACACAAACTGAGCTAATAGCTAACAACAGAGTTAAATTGACAGTTCAAAACATTTATCAACTTTTGTTATTAGCTACAAGCATGGTATAATGGCTGACTTAGCGAAGCTTAAAGGCTAAAAGCTGTCGAATAAGCAATAAGCTGGATGATGTATATTTAACTGGGTTTATACAGGAATGACTAACTGTAATTTAATACTTTTAATATATATGTATATATACATATATATATATATATATATATATATATACACATATATATATATATATATATATATATATATATATATATATAAAACACTGCAAAATCCTTCGTCATCTTTACCGTCCACAGGCTGCAGCCATGTCCCGAATTCCTTGTTTCCAGCCAATTTTGTCGCCATTTACGATCAACCAGAAGCAGTTCCGCACAAATATATCGCAATATAATATATCTGACGAAATTGATCCATAAATTTTTTCGTTTTTTTTAAATAACACATTTTAAATGCTATGATGATCACATTTAATGAATTTTAATGACAATTAAGGCATTAAATACTTTGTCATCTTTACCGTCGACAGGCTTCAGCCCTGCATGTCCGAATTCCTTGTTTTCTAGCCAATTTTTTACAAATGTTGGCTACTTTCACACTGTAACCTGAAGTGACCCAAATCCGATTTTTTTTTCCCATATGCGACCTGGATCTGATCTTTTCATGGCTGTCTGAACAACACAGATCCGATTTCTTCCAATGCGACCCAGGCCACTTGGCTATGTGGTCCTGAATCCGATACGAAGCGTATCTTTTCAAATGCGACCTGTGTGTGGGCGATCAGGTCGCATTCACCCGACCTGAACGCCATTAATAATCGACAAGGGTCACTATTCTGCTTCTTGCTACACAGAGGCGGCAAGAAAAACAAACACCATGGCGGACGACGATGCAGAGAGCAATATTTTTTATAACCATCTTGAAAAGATTGAGGTTTTAAGGTTTGGAAAGATCACTAGATGGGCTCCAGCACTACCACCCATGTTAACTTTCGTAAACACCAAGCTGCTGGCTTGTGATGTCATTACGTCCTCTACTGCACATGCGGGACACATAAGCTGTATGAAAGCACTTCAAACAGGAGATCGCATACATGTCGCATATATTTGGAAATGTGAACTGCAACACAAAATAAATAGGATTTCTCAAAAAAATCGGAATTGAGCATCAAGGCCTGCAGTGTGAACGTAGCCTTTGTTGAAATTTACGATCAACCGGAAGCAGTTCAACGCAAATATATCGTGATATAATATATCTGACGAAATTGTACTATAAATGTTTTTTTTTTTTAAATAAAGCATTGTAAATGCTACAATAATCACATTTAATTAATTTTAATGCCAGTTAAGGCCATAAATACAAAAATAACAATTTAATGACTTTTAATTATTTTTTAATGACCCGCGGAAACCCTCTTTAAATATCAAAACGATATTAACCAAGATACAAAATTTGAATTATTACTCTCTCACCTGAAAGATAGACCAAAAAGGTCAGCACTCTTCAGATGTTATTAGCTACTAGCTACAAAACTGGTTAGCATAAAGGCTAAAAGCTGAATGGGCTAAATGGTTCATTACTTAAAGTCACAACCACATGATAGAAAGTAGGAATAAACAAAAACACAGCTAATATCTAACAACAAGTTAAATGAGTTAAAATGACAGGTCAAAACATTTATCATCTTTTGATATTAGTTACAAGCATGGTATAACGGCTAACTTAGCAAAGCTTAAAGGCTAAAAGCAGTTGAATTAGCTTAATGGGGTATTTTTAACAGGGTTTATACAGGAATGAATAACTGTAATTTAATGCTCTTTTATTGCTCTTTTATATAATTTTAATAACATCAACAAGTACCCAAGACTCTCACATATATATATATATATTTATATATATATGTAAAACGGCAAAATCCTTCGTCTGCAGCCCGAATTCCTCGTTTTCCCGCCAATTTTGTTGAAATTTTGTTGCAATTTACGATCAACCGGAAACAGTTCCGCACAAATATAGCGTGATATAATATAGCTGACTAAATTGTTCTATAAATGTTTTTTTTTTTTATAACGAATTTTAAATGCTACGATGATCACATTTAATGAATTTTAATGACAATTAAGGCCTTAATTTAAAAAACTGATAATTTTATTACTTTTAATGACCTGCGGAAACCCTGTTTAAATATCAAAACAATATTAACCAAGATAAAACAAATTGAATTATTACTCTCTGACCTGAAAGTTAGACCGAAAAAGTCAGCACTCTTTAGATGTTATTAGCTACTAGCTACAAAACTGGTTAGCATAAAGGCTAAAAGCTGAATGGGCTAAATATTTCATTACTTAAAGTCAAAACCATGTATAGCAGGATAGAAAGTAATCAACTGATTTCATTTTTTAAATGGAGAGACTGAAAAATTATCCTTTAATCTAACAAGTTCTGTTATCATCTTGAAGATACACTAACAGTCAATTTAGCTTACAACAATTGCTGGGAGCAGATGAAAAGCTAATTTGTGGAAGCTATGGTGATCAAAATGGAAAGAAGAGAAAAAGAATCTCTGACAGTGCTGTTTCACTTACATTTTAAGTAAATTTTTTATGAGTTCAAATGTCTTACATGGTGGTGATAGAAATGCTGCTTGATAGACATCTTGGATTTAGAAATGTTTCTTTTTAAGCCTACAGGTCCTGCTTAAATTTAGCATACACAAGATGTGGAGTAAGGGAAAAGGGTGTCTATTTACTGCAACTTTATTAGGGAGACTTCTGCTGTCTGCACCTTAGGTCAAATTATGTCTATGATGTTCACGTTTACGAATTCTATAAACCTTTAATTAGTCATTTTGATAAAAAAAAAAAACTTAGAAATCTACTGTTATTTATAAGAAAGCTGGTGGTAAACTTCAGCAGTTTTCCCTTTTGAAACACGTACTACAAGCTGTTTTACAAAATTATAATGGAAAATTAAGGAGGGACATGCAGTATTGGTCAAAAGTTTTAGATATACTTTCTCCTTTAATGGCTTTCCTTATTTTTATGACCATCTACATTGTAGATTCTAACTTCAGGCATCAAAACTGCGAACAGAATTTTCAAGCTGAGAAAATAAATCTGTCATAACTCTGAATATCTTTTACATTTTGATTATTCTAAATAGGGTTGCTACCTTGAGAGCAAATAAAACAAATAAAAGCTTTTTTTGTTTTCTTTGTGCACTTACGTTCAGTTTCAGTTCAGTTCAGTTTATTTCTATAGCGCCAAATCACAACACGTCATCTCAAGGCACTTTACAATTCACCAGATCATAGAGTCAAAGTGATTCAAAGTTTTCTATCTAAGGAAAACCAGTTGATAAAGTCGACTCATTGACTCTTCAGCCTTCCTTTGCACTAAGCATGCTTGTAGCGACAGTGGAGAGGAAAAACTCCCTTTTAACAGACGTAACACTGAAGCCAAAATCGATGCAATTTAAGCATTGTGGTGCATTATTCCTATTGTGCGTTTATCTTTTAGGAATTTGGAATTTAAGAAAAATTATTTATTTCAAAGGAAGCAATACTTTTGTGCAACAGTGTATATATATATATATATATATATATATATATATATATATATATATATATATATATATATATATATACACTTTACAATTCTCCAGATCATAAGTCAAATTGATTTTCTATCTAAGGAAAACCAGTTGATTGCATTGACTCATTGACCCTTCAGCCTTCCTTTACACTAAGCATGCTTGTAGCGACAGTGGAGAGGAAAAACTCCCTTTTAACAGGAAGAAACCACCAGCAGAACCAGACGTAACACTGAAGCCAAAATCGATGCAATTTAAGCATTGCGCTGCATTATTCCTATTGTGCGTTTATCTTTTAGGAATTTGGAATTTAATAAAAATAATTTATTTCAAAGGAAGCCATACTTTTGTGCAACATCACAGTTGAAATTGAGCACTTATTGGTTGCAGTTGGATTTGTTAAATTCTGTAGAGCTTTTACAAACAATTACAGTCTATTTTTAACAACTCGATATATTAAAGTACAATAGAAACATATGTCAAAAACAAAGGTTATATACTACTATGTAAACCACTTGTATAGAGAAAATGTGCAGCAGCCATCTAAAAAATATACTCGAAATGACCCCCAACCTCTGACTTTCCCTGACATATTTAGGGTGTTTTAGTTTTTCTTTTTTGCATTGCACTATTTTCGAGGTGCTTGTGACAATCATTTCAGAAAATAGGCTCATAAAATAAAGGTTTTTGAGCGCTGATAAAACCATTGTACATAATGTGGGAATAATGTGCAATTGTATGTGCATATTCTGATTTACCACTATATATTATGCCAATATTTTCTTTATTCTCACACAGCTCTGTCAAAAATGGTTTTAATAGTGAGATTGTAGCAGCTAGCAATGTTCATTACAATCACATTTTCCCAGTAAGGTGCAGATAGAAAAACTCTTAGAAATTTTATTTAGTATGTACTGTTCACCATTTTACACAATTAGATTTTTTTATATCCTTTAGAGAATGATTGGAATTAGAATACAAGGATTTTATTAAAAGACAGCCCTGAGAATAATCTGTTATTTTCATTCAGTTTCAAATTACTATGACCTTCCTCCAATCTAACTAGTTTTATATTTTGGTATCAAATCTGATGAATCACTGAATCAGAATAAATCCGAGCTGAATTTCATCATACTGAAGTTGTCTACTAATGGCATTAAGATATAGCACTACATCCATGGCAGTGTATTGAGATAAAAAAAAAGAACACCCATAAAATGTCTAAAAAAAAACTTGAAAACTTTTTTTTAATGAGTGTTAATCAAATATGAAATGCTTCTGTCTTCTTGCCCCATTACTTTGATAAAACAAATGTCTTCATCTATGATTAAAACCTCTTAGCATAAGCTCTCATAGACAAAAAAAAATGAATTTACAGAACTTATCAACCCTCAGCATAGTTATTCACGTTTTATTTCTCAGAATCAGAAGACCCACTAACGTTGCTTTTCTTTGGTCTACCTCTAAGCTTTACAGTAAGCATCACTTGATATTTCCATGTCTATTGGTGACAAATCTTCATAGCTACAGTAGTATATAGACATGAGGTCGCTATTGATGTTCAAATTGTATTTTCAAAGATGGTGTTTTTTTTCCTTATTGAAAAAATAATTTGAAGCTGCAGAACAGACTTTGGTTTGGTTTCATGTGTGTATGTGTAAAGTAAAGCACGTGTGCATGGTTTGGGTAATGTGTGAGTGTGTACATTTTTAGCTACACAGCCAGATCATCAGGACGAGCTCTGGTCTTGCTTCCTTGCCTCCTTAAGTCTGTCCCTACAGCTGTGGGAGGCTGATGCATCTCCGCCCTCGTTATCACTGTAAAGTCATCATGTGGCACTGCGGTGACACTGTTTTCTTTGTCCTCAGTTGTCTCCTTAGGCGCCAGCGGAGAAAGAGGTGTATTGCGAGGAAGTGTTGGAAATGTGGATCGTTGCTTCTCTTCCAAACATGTTGTCTCATCCTGAGAGGAGGAAGAGGTAGAAGGGAAGGGAGATGGAAGAGGATAAGTGGGGGGATTTTCCTCATCTAGATTGTGGAGCTCCAAAGCCATGTTTCTCCAATTCTGCTGCATCTCTGCGAGATGAACATTGCTCTCCTCATTCTCACTGTAGATAGAAGCAGGCAGCGACCCCATTAGGACGTCATCGTGGTGAAAAGAGGCACTTTCTACATTATGCCCCTGAGATGGAGGTATTGTAACCCTGTTGGGGTTTAATGAGATCACTGTGTGGGAGGTTCCAGTGTGACTGTAAGTTCCTCCTTCAGTAACTTCACCCCCCACGACACACAAAGGCAAACTCTGGAGCCCTGGGGCAGAAGTCTGTTCAGGAATCGTCTCCGTGTCTCCAGGCTCATTGGCACCAATCAGAGACAGACTGTCAGGGACAAACTCCTTCCTGACTCCATGCTTCACTTTCTTCCAGCCCAAGTGGTAGATCTCTAGGAGGTTGAGGACCAATGAGATGCATGCCACCACTAGCATGAATATGATGAAGATCGTCTTCTCAGTAGGCCTGGTACAACAACAAAAAAACATATGGGTTTTAATATTTAATATAAAATAAAAAATCTAACAGAAATTACAAATCATAATATGAAGACTTTCTTGAAGATTTTCTAAGAAATTTTAACTTCATCCAAGTCCAGAGGGGTGAAACAGTCCCTTCAGTAAACCTTCAAAGGGAGACGACATCCTGATTAAAGGCCCTAACTGACCCTTTCATAATTTAGTTATAGTTAATATCTTATTGCTGCTGTATAGACTGGACATGAAGAAAATTATACATTTTTCAGTGTCACATTTTTGCACAGCTAGTTTTTTTACATCAGCAGACCAGAGCAATACCCACAATACAACCGACAAAGGCCCAATCTGTCTCTCCACCTCCATCTTCACCCTATCATTACTTTTCTATCAGAAATCAAAATGCTTAAACTTCCTCGCCAGGGAAAAAGTATAACCCCAAATGTACACTTTCTCCAGCTCCGCTGCACTGTAAAGTTCTCAGCCCTCAAATTTCACACAACTCCACTGCAGCGCGAAGCTCGGAGGACTTCTAAGGAGCATGCATGGATCGAGCAGTGACACATGGAAAAGTTAGACCAAAACAAATCCTCTTATGGATTTTAAAATTGTTAGAAGTCGTTCACTTTTCTTTTTTGGGCATCAATATTTTCAATAAATATATTTTGCAATAGGTGGATACACACAGTGCAGAAAAGCTATATGGGATGCTTATTTTGGAGTAATCATAGAGGCTATCATGCAGATTAACTTTTTTGAGCTTTTAACTACGTTCTGCTTTTCTTTCACCTAAAATCAAAGCACAAACTTCTCATTTGTACAATGCACCTACGTTGATGACACTTCACCTGCTCAGTAAGCAAACTCCCACTTTCTCCAATCGATGAGTGATTATGCGAGGCAGAGTGTGATCATTTCCGCTCAAAATTGAGACAAAGTGACTCTTTTTAGCAGCTACTCTGCAAAGTTCAATTTTTAAGCTAAACTCAATAACCAGGAAATGTTATTCTTGCCTTTGAAAGGTCTCAAACACAGGAGAATTTGACCACTGGGTGGGCTGTCCAATACTCTTTGTAGACCAAAACAAGATGTGTGACAAATGATGACTCTCTCTACCACCACTCCAGCTACAACCACTCCCTGACCCCTTCTTCACATTATTTTTCTTAAATAAATGAATATATCTTACTCTACCTTTAAGTAAATCTAGTCAAGAGAATGTTTTGAAAAACCTGATTCAGTGATTGCTAAGTTTCCAGGATTTCAGGCTCCAGCTTTGTTTCATGGTTAAAAACCATGGCTTCAGACTTGAGCTGAATCCAGTTGCAGCTCTCTCATGCTTGACTTTAAACAAATCCCTTGTATACTGGGGATCTTGTACTGGGAACTGCCACTTAACTATATCACCTGAAAAGAGGAATCTCCTAGACTCTTAGCTAATTAAAAAAGACATCCTCCTCTCTGTTGCTACCCACTGAGATCCTGTCTAGGTAGGTACACTACAAAAAGGAACAGTGAACTGAACTGCATTAGTAAGACATTAGAGTCTGCATCAAACTGCAGGGACAGCTCTTGCTTTCATTGTCTAAGGACCGAGCAGCCCGATTATATCTGGTACCCTATAGCACTTTCCAACAAATTGCCCTGGGAGAGATAGTCATAAGCATGAGTTTAGATTTAAAATGTTTAGACTTGACAACCTAACTCCCATGACTGCCTTGGCCACTCTGCAAGGTTAATTATTTGGTCCAAAAGCTGGACTACCTACTCCGAGGTTCCACAGTCAGTCAGTTATCTTTCTCAACACTTGCTGGAAGGTTTTTGGCGAAGTTGGGAGGTACTCGACCTTTTCTAAAATCTCTATTGAAGATCTGTCTCAACCATTATAGCCAACATATGACTCAACGACTTTGCAAAGGTTAAAACAAGAAGAGTTTTCCTCTGCTATGGTCATCCAAAAATATGATCAGTTCGCAAACTGTAGTCTATTATTTTATTTAGTAAATATTAATCCCTTTGGTAATCTTAACTGACCTAAAGTAGGAGATGTTAAGTCTTATCAACTGTCTGATGGTGAAGAATTGTTAGTAATCCTTTCTATTGTGTCTGTGTTGTACTGTGTTTCAGCTGCATGTAGAGATGAACCATTCAAAGCTAGGTTAAATAGTTTGAAGAGGAACAAAACTGAAATTCCCTTACCTGGAGATGAAGCAGTCCACAGTGTTGGGGCAGGGCCAGCGGCCACATTTATAAAGCGGCCTCAGCTGAAAGCCGTAGAGGAAGTACTGCCCTAGGATGAAGCCCACCTCAAAGAGAGTCTTAAAGATAATGTTGAAGATATAGGTCCTTAATAATGCCCCACGGATTCGGATCTTCCCATGCTCATCCCGGATTGGCGGCTTCTCCTTTCTACCACCTCCTCCCCCTCCATCACCAACTCCATCATTGTAGAAAGGGTCATGATCATCCTGATGTCGTCCAGCTTTCCTGAGATCTTCCTCCCTCTCCCTTCTCTTCTCCTCCATGCGCACGATGTGCAGCACATGGCCAAGGTAAATGAGAGTGGGCGTAGAGACAAAGATGATCTGCAGCACCCAGAAACGTATATGAGAGATGGGGAAGGCCTCATCGTAGCAGACGTTCTCGCAACCAGGTTGTTGGGTGTTACAGGTAAAGTCTGACTGTTCGTCACCCCAAACTTCTTCAGCGGCTGCGCCAAGAACCAAGATACGGAAAATGAAAAGGACAGTGAGCCAAACCTGGAAAGGAAAGATTAAACAATTACAAAACAGAAGTTAAGTCAAAGATTTCTGAGGCATAATTGCCTTGTGATGGAGATATAGTCAGTCTTTTTTCATGTAAACCAAAGAGTTATGAAACTCTCTTAGGGTATTCCAAAGGATGGTCACCTTTCCAATCACAGTGGAGTGTTCTTGAGCATTCTCCAACAGTCGCCCTAGAAAGCTCCAGTCACCCATGCTTCACTTAATTATCTAGCCTGGAGGAAGACAAAAGACTGGTGATCATCACAACAAATCCTGGCTACTAATTACGAGAAGACTCTAGAAGACCTTTGGACCAACAAAATTATTGCAGCTCTGTAGACATTGGTATCAGATAATGCACTTCGGTCTTTCTACAACCTTGGCAAATTTGACCTATTCCCTCAACACTGGAGTGCATACAGTGGCATTAAATATTTACAACCTTAATGATTTAAGAAGTAAAAATTTGAACCAGCGTTTTTACTCAAGGCTGATTGTCACTTAAAGGCATACTATGCAACATTTTTCAGTTAATTAATGTGTTCCATAACGTTTTGGATGATTAAATTAGTCATTTCAGGTCGAACAAAGGTTTTCTCGGCCGCCCTGGTGGTCTGTAGGGGAAATACCGTACTTGCAATTGTAGGAGCCCTCTGCCCGCACCCACAGGCTCAGAAGTCTCGTACATCGCGAGAGTCGGTCTTGCTTTACGGCGAGAACTGCTACACGCCCCAAGTGAAAGGCATGCTCGTTGCTAGCGCAGTGGCGATATTTGTGCAGTTATCAAGGTGGAACCAGCGAGAATTTTCAAACTCGAAAATTGGAACAAAATAGTCACTTACCGCAGTAGACATGGTGATTCATTGCGTTCGCCTGTCTGCTAAGCTCAAAACAACCGTGCCTGGCTTGACGGAGAAACCAGGAGAACAGCTGAGCATATTTACGACAGTGCACTTTTACTTTCGCCCTCTGGGGGGAGCCTCGCTGGAAAATCAACACTGGTTGCATAGTGTACCTTTAAACCTAAAGGGCAGATTAGTCTCTAATTATGAACTTTGCTTGAAAAGCCCCTCTATGGGCATGCAGGTGTTGCAGTGGTTAGTGTGCACGACCCATGCCTCGACACAGCCGGCGGGGGTTCGAATCCAGCCTGTGGTGCTTTGCCACATGCTGTCCCCCACTCATACCCCCTTTCCTGTCAGCCTACTGTCAGAAAAACAAGCCCCTAGTGCCGTTAAAACTCTAAAAAATAAATAAAAAGAAAAGCCCCTCTATAACTTTGAGTGTGTGCACTGTAGGGCTGCTGGTGAGAGGACAATGGCCTCACCATCTGTGGGAAGTGAATGAGTGGATAACAGGTTGTCCATGTTGAATGCTGGACTCATCACATCCCAGGAATGCTGAGGGGAGCAAATGTTTCCCTGAGATACACTGATATGAAAGCCAAAAAACATGCAAGGTGCCTGCTATAGTGCAGAGAGAAAATTCCCCTTCCAAACAAAGCTCTTAATTTTTAAAATTTCCCTAACCTTAAATCAGCAATAGTCTCATAAGATGTACAGTGCCTTGCTGAAGTCACAACTTTTCATAATTTTTCTATGTTACAACCAGAAAGAAAACGAGTCAGCAATTTTAACCAATTTTTAGACATGACCATCTAAAACTGTCGCCATGCATTTGTATTCACCCCCTTTACCTACACTGTAAAACACAGATTCACCAATTTAAGTTAAAAGATGCTGTTCATCAGTGAACAAACATTAGTGATCAGTTAATCATTCAAAAGGATAGAGAGTATAGCACAGCTGTAAAGCTACCAAAATAAGGCAATCAACCTAAACTGACAGGATTAGAATGAAGATCATTACTCAGAGAGGCAGCCATGTTGTAACACTGGAGAAGCTGCAGAGATCCACCGCTCAGGTGGAAGAAATTGTTTGCATGAGAACTAGCTGTGCAATCCCTAAATCTGGTGCTTAAGAAGTTTAGCAAACCAGTGGCTCTATAGACCATCTGAATCCATGTAGAGTGTGCAGCAGACATAAGAATAGAAGAAAGGTTCTCAATCCTGATCCTCAGGACCCACTGTTCTGCAAGTTTCTATTCCAATGCACTTTCAATCCCAATCCACTGCATTGCGCCCCCAGCATGCCATACATTGCTGTTCCTTAATACAGGATCGAGAATCAGTAGTTGAAATCAAAGTATATTGATTTGTTATAATGGCCTAGTCAAAGCCCAGACATAGATGCAAGTAACAAATAATGGGCAGAGATTTTACTCTAGAGGGCAGCAAATCAAAGTTAGTGAAGAGATAACAGTTGAAACCAAAGCTTGCTCTACAAGGTTGGAATTCTAGGGAGAATAAATAGAGATGCAAAACTTAATCCTTCTCTCAGCTAACATATCAGTGTCTGGTGCATCAGCACCATGTGCAGATGTACATTATGTGTTGATGTGATGAAATACCACAGGTCGGGACAGACAATAGAGAAGCTGCCAGATGGATATTGTCCAGGCTGCTGCACGCTTTTGATGGATCAGTGCTCTTTGTCCTGAAACGCCCCAAACAGTTAACTCTTCATTTGCTGTTTACACACCAAAATACCCAGAATAAAAGCTGTAGCCACACCTTATCTCAATCAGCTCATCGGCTAATTAATTTCTAACTTTGTGCATTCACCTCGACTGCAGTTTGATACATTTTCTGGATGCATATTTTTCAAATTACAACTGATAAGATCAGCATATAGACAAAAAAGTATAAATAAAAGCAAAAATACTTTTGGTAAATACTTAAATGAGGGATAAAAACATTTTTGAAGCTGTGCCAATATATAAATGGATTATTAGTATCGAAATGACTGAGTTGCAGAAACAAAAAGATTTAAAGTGAAGAAAAAGTAGACATAATTATTCCAACAGCATAATGCTGCCATGGAATAATAAGAAATAATAAACCACATCAAAAAGGAAGCAGAGTGGAACTGAAAGAAAATAATCATAAAGTTATGTTAAACTAGCTTGATATGAGGTAAAATAAAATTATTTTATAATTTGAATGGCAGTAATCACTTTTTGTATCAAAACACCTCAAATTTAATTACTGGGTTCCACTGTGCAAGAGTATCAGAAGCTTCCCGTTTCCAAAAGGCAGTGAACGCAGCATGAGAGGAGCTGATAATCCAGCATGTGGAGGGATGATAATCCCTCCTCCTCCCTCCCCCATCACTCCAGCATCCACCTGCTTACCGCTCCCCTCTGAGGCTCGGCTCCTCTCCAGCCTTCCCTGCTTCCTCTTCTTTTCCTGCGTGGTTTTAGTCCCGGTGGGAGGGGAGAGGGGTTAGAGAGAGGCAGAGAGAAAGATGGAAAAGTTTAGTTCTTTGGGGGGGTTTTTTTGTCTTTTTTTTTTATAAGAGACGCGTGGTTTCTTGTGGTGACAGGAGATGAAAAAAGGCGGTGAGTGGAAGCCGTCCCGCGAAGCGCAGCGGCTGCGTCCCGCGTGGAACAAGGCGCTCCGCCACTGTCGTTCACACTCACTGGTGTCCCCCCGTGCATGGGGCACAGGAGAGGGGGGCAGGAGGGCGCGCGCGTAAATATGCGAGCGGCGGCTGGAAGCCACTCTGACGTCACAATCAAACACAAAAAAAGTTTAACATTTCATAATTTTACCCCCCTAAAAAAAAAATTCAAACAAACTTTAAGATTCATATCATTTTATTCAATAAAAAATTCCCATTTAATTTTTTTATTTACTATTCTAACACAAACCTATTTTATAAACTTTAAATAATGGTTTGTCATTTGTATATTAAAGCCTATTTATTTGCAATAGATAATCATCATGGTTTACGTATGGAGTATCAATAAAGTATATTTTAAATAAATACTAATGCATTGATTTATTTAAAATAAAGTTCGGATGATAATCCTACGGAAGAGGATTAGGGCCACTGAAAAAACAAAAAAATTAACTGATTCCTAAATTTTATAATATTAGAAAAAAGTCAGAATTCTGACTTTAATCTATCTATCATCTATCTATCTATAAAGGCAATCTCCATTTAGCTCTTACTGCAATTCCAGTATTGGATTTATTCATTAGAAATAGACAGTTTATGATTCACAACACTGACTTTTTAAGTGAAATTAAAAAATATTAAAATCAAGAATGCAAACAACAACAACAACAAATAACATTTTAACCATTACTTGTTAATTTGCTAGGGACACAGAAAATAAATACATATATAACCTAAATAGAGGAATTAGCAGTGGAAAAAGTAGAATGAATACAACTTTTTTTCTAATTAAAATGTCGCTTTATGAAAAGTTCTACCAGGGTTTGTCTGAAAAATGAACACATAAACAACCTGTGCATTATTTTTAAGTTATAAAACATGACTTTTTTTGTATCTTTCATAATACAAAATAAGTTTGTATTTGGTTTAATCCAAATGAAATCTAAGTGAGTCATTGGAAGTCTAGGTTAACCACTACCCTCAGCACAACACAACTGATCAGTGAACTCCTTACTTTGGTCCAGAATCAGGCTGTGATGTCACCATCTCTCTCTGGAAACTAAATGGGAATTTGCTGTTCTGCTGTTCGCCTTATGTGTCCAGAAGGATCGTTGAGGGTCCAGCTCACTACATTGCCACCTCCATGTTTTATGCCAGAGGTGTCTCTGCTAAGTTTAATGAACCTGTTCCCTCTTAAAAAAAAAAAAAAAAAAAAAAAAGCATTAGTCCCTGTACTGTTAAACTGAGGATTCCTCCTGTGGATCACTAACGCTCCCCAGCAAACCTGTGAAACCTTCAGGGAGCAGCTGCATTTATTCTGAGATTAAATCACACAGCTAATTTCCTATTTAGGTGACTTCTGGGTTTTATTGAGAGGTATGAGATGGAGGGGACCGATAATCCTGCGAGATCCATCCTTTACATTTTGGTTTGTAAAAAAAAGTATTAAAACATCTTTTTCCATTCACTACCAAAAATGCACAACACTGTGTTGATCTAAAATCCCCAAAAAACATTATAGGCTTAACTGTGATGCTCTTAGATGTGAACCAAGTGGAGAAAAAAAAGTGGTCCATGGAGTCCAAGATGGTTGCTCAACTGGATTCAATGAAACTGTGAATAAAGATCAGAACCTCTATGGGTAGATGTAGTTTTATTATTGTCCAGTAGATGGCACTCTGGCTCTATAAAGGCATTTTGTTTGGCATTCTCATTCACACAATTCTGGGTCCAAATCTAGTGTTAAACTGCTGACATCCTCTTCAGGTCACAATTTCTGGACTCATATAAAGTATAGAAGCATATTTACCTGCATTTACAAGAGTAAAAAAAGTCTCTATGTTGACATATATGCTGAGGCTTCTTCAAACCCAACTCTACCTTTCCCATTGCTCATTTCATCTCCATCTGGACAACATGTTGTCAACGAAGAAAGACAAATCAATATAATCTAAAAATGTGCAGGAATTAAATCTCTGGGTAATCACTGGGTAGTCTAACCAACCAACGTCTCTACCTATTGAGAGCCTTGGCGACGAGGTATGCAAGTTCAGCCAAATTAAGCACCATGCAGATAGAAGAGGCAGTAGCCATGAAAACGGTGAAGATGGTTTTCTCTGTAGGTCTGGAGATGAAGCAGTCCACCAGGTTGGGGCAGGGCCACTGATCGCACTGCACCAGGCGGGGCATCTCGAAACCGTCGTACACCACATACAGGACGTACCTGGAGGGAGAAGGACATGTAGTACACTGCGTGCTTATAGACAGAAAGAGAACCCTCAGCCCCACAGCTTACATGAAGCTGCCTTCAAACAGCATCTTAAACACCAGGCTGCAGAAGTATGTCCACCACAGAGCGCCAACTATCGGGAGTCTCCTCTTCTTTAGCGTCTCCAGCTCCTCCTCTTGTCCCTTGTTGTTGAGCATGCCAGCTCGGCCAGAACTCTGCCACACAGGAGGGCATCCCATAGGAAGAAAATATCAGAAAATACCTTCTAAGACAAGCACAGATACGAAGAGATGACATGGCATAGCTTCTTATAACCTTAAACTTTAACATATTTTAGAAAGATTGTACATTTTATACTGACACAAAGTAGGGCATAGATGTAAAGAGAAGGAAATAATCTGATTTTAATCAAAGAAAATACAAATAAAAAGTGTAAAAGTCCAACAAGACTACACCTTGTTAATAATTCTAGTATGATGTTACATAAGCATAGCCTCAGCTTGGGTCCCCTTGGGTTTCATGCACATATTATAAAGACTCATAGCATATATGACTCTAAACAAATGCAGCAAAAACAAATTCTTAGACTGATTTGGCACTCTTGCAAGAATCGGACAATAAGAGAGAAAATATAAAACTGTTTCAAATGAGGATTTCATTTAAAGGGACAGTGTGTAAGATTTATCGCCATCTAGGGGTGATTTAAACGGATTACAAATGAAAGATGGCTGCCCCCTTATTAAGGTTGTGAGACCTTCTATAGAAGCCACGGAGTGACATTCTACTCCTTCTGAATACTGGTAACTGTTGCATCAGAGCTCTTCCAGTTTAGGCTAACAAGCAAATTCTGAAACATTGAGGATGTTCCACTTACCGTGAATCTTTTTCAATTCAAAATGTCAGAATTAGCAATAATTTTGAGGCTTTATAGAATGGACCAAAAACAAAGCCTTGTTTGGGCTTAGAAAACATGCAAATTGAAATGGACAAATGGGTCAGTCGCTTAAGAACGTGGAGTCTTTTAGGTTCTTTGTTAGCCTGCAATACCCAATACTGGTCTATGCTTCTGAAAGGGGGTCCTTAGGGGGAATTGTTGGCCTGGCTGAACAGGCGAGATGTTCTGGTCCCCTGTATGGAGGCATAGACCTGTATCGGGTGTTGTAGGCTAACAAAAAACCCAAACGACTCCCCATTCCTAAGGGGCAGGTCCGTTCTTCCAGCTCAATTTGCCAAAACAAGGCTTTATTTTAGTCCACTCTATAAAGCCTCGAACTCAACGCTATTTCTGACATTTGGAATTGAAAAAGCTTCCTATAAGGGAAGCGGAAGGTCTTTAAACTTGGAATCAAAGTCCAGGGGATTGTTTTTTTTTTTTATGTTTTTGGAATGACTATGACCTGGATGAATCTTCACCAGCATCTGAAACACATGGAAAATGTCTCTGAAAACAGAGCTGAAAGAAGCTTAAAGTCGCCCACCTTTTATCACTTCTGTGAAGAATAATAACTGTTAACTAACGGAGGACATCCAGGAGGGATAACAAACAAATCACTGCTGTGCTTCTAACATAACACCAAAATAAACTTCACTGTTATATTGAATTCCGGTCCAACAGAAAGACGGAAACCTCTGTGTCCATTTTAAACCACCTGCTCCCACATAAATAGTTTCCACCTAGTTAAAGCTATGCCATTATTACCTCTTTTTCCCTTATTGTCTTGTTTTTCTTGCCTCTTACCAGACAAAGATTAAAGATGTTCCTCCATTGCACCAGAAAGTGAATGGTGGAATGATAATGTTTTCAGATACAGGTAAAACCCCTCGTCTTTCCCATTTTGGTTACTCTGATTCAAAATGGCTACCCAACATGGCGTCTCCCCTTGGGTTCATTTATAAACTGTTAATTCTAAGCTATGAGGAAACATTTATTGTTGATATGATTTTATCAATCTTTCACACAATGTGTATTTATCAAAGCAATTCTTGATTCTTGCCAATAAAAACCACTCTGTCCTTTCAAGGTAACAAGTGTGTTTATTTTAAATATTTCTTTTTTTGCTTTGACTATTTCATCTATTTATTTAAAAGAGACAGAGTTTGTTAATATAGACAAATGATGATAACATGAATATAAACACAACGGATTCTTGCCAAAGGCTATTTTCCATCTGTTGTTCCAGGGGGATAAGTGAAACAGAAAACTAAATTACACAATACATGTCTAACATCTTTCTAGTATACATACTTGCAGTGTGGAAAATATTTGGACAATAAGTTATTATAAAGAAACCATAATTACTTTTTTTTTTTACGAGTTATGAGAAGATTTCCATGTCCCAAAGCAGAAAAACAACCCCTAAGCATTATACTACCACCACCGTGTTTGAATGTAGGTGACTTTAAAGACTTTTGTCTAGGCACTGGTTAGATTTAAACATACAATCCCTGCTAAGACAGATTGCCTCATTACAGCTGTTGATTAACAGCTAAAGTGAAACACCCACCTGAAGGAGTCGTCTCCTGTCGCAGTGGTTACGATAGGCCACGTACATAGAAACCAAGAGGGTCGGTGTGGACACAAAGACCAGCTGAAGACTCCAGAGGCGAATATGGGAGACCGGAAAGAACTGGTCATAGCAGACGTTCTCACAGCCTGGCTGGGAGGGAAAATAGATTGCTGCATTAGTTTGCCATCCAGCCATCGTCTTTACCGCCTTTCTTGCAGCAAAGCAACAGATACTAAAACCTGCACCATGTTGCAGCTAGTTCTGGGCATATAAGGGTTTGAAGTGAGTGAAGTCAATTAGTCCCTGCTTTGTGATCGTTTGATACCTTCTAGTACTGATTTGAAGAGATTTTCTATATTTAAATAAAGTCTTCACTAAGGAAAGGCATAGAAGAAAACAAGGAGAGTAGGAATACATGTGGAGTAGGAAGGTTACACTGCAAAGTATTTAGTTCTTACTGATAAAATAAACTTAGATATACAAGTGTTAGATGATTTATTTAACTTTAAAACATAATTTTTAATTTAAAGTATAGTCTAAGCTTATTTCTAGATTTAAAAATCTAAAATCTTTCGTAAGTAAAAATATCTTGCTGCATGCACAGATAATTTCACCTAGTTTGAATAGATTTTCAATGGGGAATTTTTTTTTTCTTCTTGATTTTAGACACACAAGCCTGTCAGATAATGGATGGATGGATGGATGGATGGATGGATGGATGGATGGATGGATGGATGGATGGATGGATGGATGGATGGATGGATGGATGGATGGATGGATGGATGGATGGATGGATTTGAGACACCCCAGTTTTTCAGTATGCCTACAAAACAGCATAAAACAGGAAAGCGGGGCCAAATAAAAAAATATTTAATATAATGCATTTTTAATGCTCCCAAAAAGAATTCAACTTTTGGTACTTTTAGAACAGAATAAGATAAACAAACAAAACAATATCAGCTCTGAATATATATATATATATTATTAAAAATATCAGTCCTAAAAACATATATTGCTTAATTTAATAACAAAAAAATCCAATTTGATTCAAAAGAACACAAATCTAGAAAAAAAAAAACTTAAATAAAGACAAATGCACCCCCCCAAAAAAGTTTAATCTATGAGAGCAGCAATGTCCATAGAATGTTGACATTTCCATTTTCCAATCCTAAGCAAGAACAGTGCAACAGTGGAAAGGAAAAGTAAAAGACAATGTAAAATTTGTAAAGTATGCACATATAATTGTTCTTTAAAAACCTAAAACAAAATGAGAGTCATTCCTAAGAGACGCTACCTGCAGCGTGTTACAGGTGAAGTCAGACTGCTCATCACCCCAGACACTCTCCGCAGCTACAACCAGCACCATGACTCGGAAAATAAACAGCACTGAGAGCCAGATTTTTCCCAAGGAAGTGGAGTGACGGTTTGCACCAACCAGCTGAGCGTACAGAGCCGGCCAAGACATCCTGTACAAAGGAAGAAAAATTCAGCTCAGAAAACAACTCTGCGATCCACAAAACTGCAGGTTAAACAGAAAAAGGTTTGGTAGTTTGTCAAAAATTTGACTCCAGATTTATTGATGCTGTTGATCAGGATAGTGCACGTGTCCAAGGAGCTCTGTGGGAAAAGATGAAAGCAGAGAAATCCACAGAAACAAAAGCCATCTCTGACAGAGGAAGGGGATGAAAAGGAATGAAAGTGAGAGGAGGAAGGGAGAAGGCCTGCTGCCAGCATTCATGTGAACATCTGATGAACCTCGCAGCCCACTGAAACTGAGACTGTACACCATGTCTATCATTCAAACTAACTTTCCAAAAGTACAGATTTTCTTCAGTAGAAAAATATTAAACAGAGAGGAGGAGTTTTTTTTTTTGTTTTTTAATCTATTTTCTACAATACTAAACTTCCATAAACATGATTAATTTTCCCACCTTTTTCATAGTGGTACTGGTTCCAAAGGCGTCCAAATTTTGCTTTTCCTGCAAAATGATTAATAAATAAATAAATCCAAAGAAATTTACAGGTGACACAATTTATCTGAAGTGAATCAGAATGTGTTCTGCAGAGCCAGACAGACCTGAAGCTCCTAAGTCTGCTGCCTGCCACTCTGAGGACTTCAGCTGGATGACTTCCTGTACAGAGGTTTCAAAATAAAATTCATCTGGGTTATGTCTCCATCAGCAGCTGTAATTTTGAACAGAGGCAGAGCTGTGAGAGCTAAAGATGCTGGAGTTGCTTACATGCCAAGGAGATAACGTAACCTTTGGTTTCATGTTTGCGTTGGAGCAGGGATGGATGCAGAAGCTCCAGGACGCCGCCGCTGCCTACCGCTGATCTAGATCCTTCCATTGTATTCCTGTCTGGATGTTTAGGGTCATTATTCTGCTGGAAGGTGAAACTCTGCTGCAGTTTCAAGTGCTTTTTAAACCTCTAGTTTTTCATCCCACACCATGATACTGCCATGAACGTGTTAGGGCAGTCCTAGCATTGTGTGTCCGAGGTATTTTAATCTAAATAGCATTCTACATGCAAGTTGAATAACTAAAATGAATTACCCCTTGTTCTCCCACGTGTTCACAAACTATAAATGTGTCATTTAAACCGTCCATCCATTTTCCCACTTAGTCCTTGTCAGGGTCGCGGTGGGGCCAGTCTACGGGTGAGAGGCGGGGTACAGGGTGCCACAGAGACACACAACAATTCACACACAACTTAGAGAAGCCAATTAACCTAACAGCCATGTTTTTGAACTGTGGGAGGAAGCCGGAGAGAACCCATGCATGCACAGGGGAAACATGCAAACTTCTTGCAGAAAGATCCCAGGAATCAAACCCAGAACGTTGCTGCTGCAAGGCAGCAGTTCTGCCCACTGCCCCACCATGCAGCCCATCATTTAAGCCATGTACTTTCATTACTATTCTGCCTTCAAGGACTGATTTTAAGGAGCCTAAATCACAGCTTTTAGGCAAACAGACTCTTCCGCCTGAGCTGTGGATCTCAGCAGCTCCTCCAGAGTTACCAACACTCGCTGATTTTATTTAGTTAGTTAATTTTAGATTTTACTGATTGATCTATTTAGAAAGCGACTGTACATATTAATGGACAAACTAATTTCTATCTGAGGTCCCTGGATAGGTTGATGTTAACACCAAATTTAAAATGAAATTAAGGAATGAATTTATTAATGCACTCCTGGTCAGGCCTGTAAGTTTAAATACTTTGACTATTTTCTGGTAAATTCACTCCTGGATTAAGATAATTGCTCTTCTTTTCTATTTAAGGTGGACAAATAAGATCCATCTTAAGAATTAGAAAAAAACTTAGCTTTCCTTGGCGGTTAATAAAGTGAAAAAAAACTAATTCAGTAGCTTCTAGAACAGCTGTTAGCATCAATAGCTTAGAATAAGTGTTACCTGTGTGCCATTATCAGTCTGCTACATGATTGTGGTAACATTTATGAAATATGTTATCATGTTTTTGAATGATAAACTGAATTGTCTGAAAATGACTTTACGACGACATCGATCTACAGTAACAGCTTCTAAAGAAAGACTATTGCTGTTGTCTTTTCTTCGTGGCCTTTAGCCGACACACATCTTTGTGTTACAAAACAGAGAACTGATTATTTTTGTGTTTAGACAGTCATAAGTATAAAGATTTAATGTTTCTACATCTTTTTAACATTTTGTGTTTTTGACAGTGTGTTAAACCAGATTGTTTTATTTATCACATTATTCAGCGATAAACTAGTTGCATTCTAATGAGCCCAAGCTGCAGTTTGGAGGGTTGAAAGAACAGTATTGCATTGTGGTGTGAAGGTGTGTAGGACGGCGTGTCTGTGTGTGATTGTTGCGACTGTAACTGGACACAGCTAGCGGCTCCGAAGGACTCCTCAGATCTGAATTACGTCTTGGCAGTGGCCAGCAGACGGGACAGTGCAGCTCTCTGTGCTGCTGATGACTGGGACAGATGAGCTTTTCCCACAGTTTGTTAAAGTGTGGGAGCAAAAGCCACTTCCTCCGTTCGCACTACAGATTCTTTCAAAAGATTTCAACAGAAAGAAAATGTGATGCCCTCAAACAAAATGAAATGCAGTCAACTGCATTCAGAGATCACCTAACTTTTTACAGCCTAACTTTGACTAGGCCTTTCCAGTGCAGCTCTTGCTGTAAGTTAGGACATGATCGCTGATGAAGTTTCTCAGTCATCCAGGTCAAAGTCATTCCGTAAAAATTAAAAAAATATCCACTGGACTTGGTTTTCAAGTTTTGAAGACGTTTCGCCACCTCTCCAGGAAGCTTACTCAATTCAAATGTCTGGATCCGCAGTGAGTTTGAGTCTTATATAGACAATGTTAGGACATGATCCTACTGGAAGATTAACCTTTACCCCATCCTCTGGTCATCCATCTTCCTGTTGACCCGTCAACATGATAGTTTAGGGTTGTTTTTTTTTATGTAGGTCAAAAAACTAAATATATTGTAGGTTTGTGGTTTTAACCTGACACAAATGCCCTGTCTTAGTGAATGGTATCAGTGTCAGTGTCAGACTAAAAGGGCTTCTGTCTGATGATTCAATCAGAGCAGCAAAGAAAAGCCTGATGGATCGTTTCAGCACGGTCTTTGAGTAGTAATGTGGGAATTAGGGGGAAAGAGGGTGCAGATTGTTAGAGTAGTTCCTGGTCTCTGATCAGCCAGCCAGCGAGAGAACAGAGGGAAGCACTGTCAGGAAGCACACACTGTACTATGGAGTACTGTACAGATGTACACACATCTTTACCAGAATCCTAAACACACGCCTCCTCAGACAGTTTAGTGAGCGAGGGAGGAGTGCAGCATGTGACCAAACAGCAGGTTTCTGCTCTGTGGGTCTTTGCTGTGTGAGAACCTGCAGGTAATAGAAAAAAAACAGTAAAACTGAAACATTAAGAGTTTAAACATTCTGGGTAAGAGAAAAGATTTGCAGAATCACCAAGAGGTTTTCTGTTGCAGATGAACGTATAAATCAGGAATAAATGATGGTGGAAGGTCTGATTACTGATCATTATGAGCAAAATCTAAAGGTCATTTAGAAATATTGGGACACATCCTTAATTTACATCTACAACATCTTCTAAAAGTGTTTGTGCTTCTTGAACTTTTCTACAGTTTGTCACAGATTACATACGATGCAACAAGTTCTACAAAAAAAATTGAACATGACTTAAAGTTGTTGCTACAAATAAAAGTGGGAAAAGTGGGGGGTGCACTTTGTTCCCTCTTCCTGACTCAGTTATTCACCTCCAATCACTGCAATCACACCACATCTCTGGAAAAAATGTCTCTGCTAGCTTTGCTCATCTGAAGACTGGATTTAATTCTTAGAAACAAAACATTGAACTCAAGCTCAGTTCCATTGGGCTAAAAGCATAAAAGCAGAAGCATTTTTTATATCTTGACATGTGGGTATTTCACAAACCATTATTAATATAATAATGATTTAAATCCTGTTAGCTATCACTTCCAAACAGCTTGCTACAGATGGAAAATTGAACTTTTAGGGAACTTCAAGGAGAGTATAGACCTACTAAAGCTAAACTTCTGTCTCATTTTAGCCTCTTACATATTTTCCATTTCCTATCAACTCTTAAATCCTTATCTGCCCTGCAGTAAAACCTTTTCCCTCAGCATTACGTTGCCACTCCCATGTTTTGCAGATGTTTCACAATGTGCAATTGTAATTTCCCTGCATGTGTAATGTGGCTTTCACATAGTTACTGTATTTTTTTGACACTTTCCAAAAACAATGACTTTGAGAATATAACAGGAAGTTTTCAAAGTTTATGAAATTCTTTTATAGTTAACTGCTAAAATGTCATTCTTCTTGATTTTTCTATGGAGTTATTCTTTATAAATCTTTTGATAATGAATCTCAGCAAACCTTCACAGCATATGTTGTTTTTTTATTTAATTTACTTCTAACATAGATGAGAAATGAGATGCCTTCTGTAGGTTTTTAACTGCCTGGGTTTTTTGTCTATAAAATTGTAACCAGTAGGGGGCAGTGATGAGTCGTCATCTCCCTCAGTCCGTAGAAGAAGAACCTCATTCACCGCTTTGCTCTGGAAAGAACACGGACCCAGACCTCGTTGTGTGACCACAAAAACCATTAATACCAATGGCGCTGGAATCACGGATTACACAAGAAGAAATAAAGAAGGAGCCAGAGAAACCCATCGACCGGGAAAAGGTAAACATCTGGGTTTAACTCCGTAATTCCCTGTAGCTTGTTTACCTTCTCCAATCGGAGCTAACCCGGTTAGCATATGCTGCTACTAGCATCTGCTACTATGAGAGCAAACAGTTATTTGTTACATCAAGTATTTGCAACATATCAGATATTTTAATTAAAATATTCGCAGGACTAATACTGCATAACTCAGCGGCTTTGGGAAACGATAAAAGAATAATAACGACGTGCGTCTGTGGCGTTTTAGCTTTGCTAGCTAAGCGCTATTCGGCATGTTCTGTAGAAACACGTTAAGATTGGTTTTATGCACACACAAAAAAATGTCGACTTGTTGTCACATATCGCGATAACGAAGTATTGTTGCGGGTTTCTCTCGCGATTGTAGATTTGTAACGTTTTTTATTATAACGGTAATTAAGAGGGGTTTAGTATGCTTGATGATGAAGTT